TATATATATATATATATATATATACACACAGGTTTAATAAGCAACGATTACAACAATATTTACAATAATAAATTTTAATTATTTTTCACGTAAGTAAAAACTCGAGTCAAAGATGATTCCTTTCTTCGGATCTCTTCTTAAATATTAAAAGTAAATTTAAGAGGGAAAAATTTAATAGCAAAGAATGTTAATAGAAATTCTGTCGATATTTTCTCTCGTTGAATATAAATAAATCGTATTTAAGATACTTGGAGGAAGGAAGCCGAATGTAATATTCTGAACGAATGTATGAACGTACTTCACGTGTCGGATTCGACGATAATTGCGGGAGAAATTCGTGATTGAGAAGAGATGAAGAGAGGAAATGTTAAAAGGATACAATTGTCGACGAGCATAAAGGTGTGATATAATACGAGATTTTTTTCAACGTAACCGATGCATGCAGAGTGCACTCGTACTCTTCAGTTTGTCGCGCCGGGCTACTTGACTCGACAGTAATTTTTGCAACGCTTCGCCAGACAGCAATGCAATTGTCTCCCTCGTTGTATGTAACAACGTCTAAATCAGCGAATAAATTGATGCCCGGCTGGACAGGTTTCGCTTGATACGTTTATTTTATGATACCTCGAAGGGAGAAACATACGTTTGCTTTATTCAAACGAAGCATCGTAAAATCGATCTTTTGTGAAAGTATGTTTTTACGGAATTAGATAAAGAAAAAATTCAAATATTCGAAGAAATTATTTACTTATAGCTCAATTTTCAGAAACTTTCTAAATTACTAAAAATTAAATAATTAAATTTGTTAAAAATAAATATAAAATAAAATCTATATACTTTGCGAAATTTCAAACGATAAAAGCAAAGGAGCTATAACAAACATCTTTGTATCTCTCTCTTTTCAACAAGATCCATTCGATCAAAATTCTATTTCGCTTTTAAATTTCAATTTCTCGTAAAATTCAAAACAAACCTGAGGAAAGGAATACAAATATAAAAAAAAATATATTAAATTTCAGCCACCTTACCTTAAGTTTCTTCATCTTCTCTCAACTTTTTTTCTCGTCAAAATTCCCAGATCCGCGATCGAAAACAGGATAAGGCGAAATCGATTTAACGAAATTCTGTTCGAGTAAACAGGGCATTATCTATGCGCCGCCCGCATTGACTATGAAATAGGAAGAACGGAATTGGCGGACTAACAACGGATCCAACGCGCAACGTGCAACTGCACATCGATTTCGTTGCCCGGTAGGCAATATTCAGGGGGCGAAGTGCAGGTATCCAGCCGCGCTCGATAAACATTGCCGTGTCTGCAGCCTGTGCCACTGCAGTCAGCGATCCTTTCATCGGCTCAGATCACCGCTACAATTGAGACGACGCGTATAATGCGGGGGTTGCAACATCAAAGTGGTGAATACGAGTTAATTGCGGCGTGACTATTCAGCTCTGCGTGAAAGCTGAGCAGTAACACTGGAGGAGGCTGCTCGCCCTCACCCAGGGAAGAGGAGGAGGAGGAGGAGGAGGAGAAGACTTTATTTCGTTCGTCTCGACCACGTGGACGAACGACGCGTGCAAGCTTTGATTTAAATGGCCGGCATCTGCTCCTAGCTCTCTATCCCTCCCCCTCTCGATCGATCCGATCCATGATAAAGGATGCAAAGCGCGAAGCCGAACATTGATCGTGGATAATGATTTCGTGTTGATGAAACGCTCCACTCCTCTCTGATTTCGTCCGATCTCGTTCGCTTTGACAGACGGACGGTGGAATTTCGGGGGGGAGGGAAACGTGTTCCGGCGGATCACACTTTTGTGATTACGAGATTCGAAAGATCTCTTTTTTTTCCTTGATTTGGAGATTTTTTTTCTTCTCTTTTTTTTTTTTTTTTACAAATTGGATGGGTCAATTGTTCTTTGGGTAGTGGCAGGTTCAATCTGTGAACAATCGAGTCGAGTTTTCGTTTCATTTTGATTTGAATCGGGGATCGAGAGTTTTTTCGAGTGCAAATTCCAAAAATTGTATATCGCGTCGAGGAAATTCGTTAAACTAAATTCGCAGAGGGAAAAACTATGTTTGGTTTCTTGGGTGGAAGATTTTCATGTTGTAATATTGTAATCACGAGTGGTGAATACAATAAGTGTATTTATGTGTGTTCGTCTTCCTTAAGAACGAAAGATTTTAAAGAATTTGGACAAATGGAATTCCGCGTAAAAAAGTGAAGCGGCGAAATAATTGAACAAAGTATAGGAGAATTAAGAAGAAGAGCAACGAAAGTGAGCTTAAAGTTTCGATCAATTAATCTTGGCATCTCCTAATCTCTTAAGGTATAAACATTTCTTTCTTTTTTCTCTTCTTTCGGAATTTTATACCCTTACATTCTTCGTTCATCGATAAAATTTATAACGTTACTCTTACTCTTTGCGTCCCCTGCATAATTGAGATTCAACCAGACGATGAACTTTCGAAACTTTATATAAGATCCACAACAAGAATCCACATATAAATATTTAAAAAAATTAACAAAATTCTAATTTGTTTCAAATGCTTCTACCCCAAATACTTCTATAAAACTTCACATCATTAACCGAAAAAAAATCTCCAATCTCGACAACAATCCACGTAGCGAGGAAAAATTACCGATCTAAAATTCACCTGAAGCCAACCACGATCCACGTTTCCGCGAGGAGGGAGAACGAGAAAGATCATCAAACAGGAAAGGGTGAAAAAGAATATAAAAAGAAAAAGAAAGAGAGAGAAAAATTTCACCCTCGACAATTTTTAACCCCCCTCCACCCCCTTGTTGCCGCTTGGATTCGAAGATAACAGGAAGGGGGAGAGGGGACGAAAATTAAAATTCCACGAGGCGCTCGCGCCAACGGCCGTGTAAATGCGCTTTAATAATAATGTAAACGCGTAACGAATGGGAGTTAACGCGCGGTCACTTTACCGTGAAACGAGGCGACGCGGCGTTTCCAGGGTGGCGTGGGTGGACAGGGTCGCGGAGGGTGCGTGGATCCACCCGAAATCCTACCCTCCTCTCCTCCACCGAATTCCAAC